ACAAGGTTCAGCATAACCTTATTAGGTCTTCTATCACTTGGATTAGAGAGTTACCACCAATGTATTCCAGAAACCTTCTGGATAGTTTGTGGTTTGCAGAGTTGTCCCTCCAACAGTTATCAGGGTAGTTGAAATCCCCCATGAAGTACAAGTCTTGTGAATGGCAGACTATGCCTATCTGTCTTTAAAGGGCCTCATTTGCTCAGTCTTCCTGCTCAAGTGCCCTTTAGCAGAGATCTACTGTAATGTCCCCTATCCCTGCCCTCCCATATACTCCCAGTTGGCTCCTCACCCATCTCTAGGTAGATCTCCATGCACTCCAGCTGGTCACTGATGTTGAGGGTGACACCACCTCCTCTTCTCCCCAGCCTGTCATTCCTAAAGAGCCTGTAACCTTCCATATCAATGGTTTAATAGGGGTCATCCCACCATGTCTCCACGATGCCAGTAAGATCGTACTACTTCAGGCACACACACAACTTTAACGCTACTTGTTTATTTCCCATGCTGTGTGCATTAGCAGAGTCATTTAATACTGGGACGCTAGTGAAGGTGATTTACTGGCTGAAGTGGCTGGAATTCCCTTGAGGTATTTCTCTGGTGCTTCCTTGTTGGATTGTACTATTTCAGGAGGCCCTGGTTCATCTCTGTAAGACTTCAGGTGTGCTAAAGTGTGTCCAGCACATCTCTGAGTAACAGGTTGAGGGTCCTTGCTAGCACCCTGTCTTCATAACTTTAGTGTGTCTTCCCAACTTTAGTGTGTCTCCCCACATTTTGTTACAGGCAAGCTGGGTATTACCCACCTCCCCTTTCAAATCTAATTTAAAGGTCTGTCTATGAGTCCTACAAGCTACTGAGCAAAGCCCCACAAGCTACTGAGCAAAGCCCCTCTTCCTTCTTTTAGAAAGGTAAATCCCATCCACTGCCACCAGCCATGTAGGCCATCACATTATTAAACAAACAAACAAACAAAAAACACACCAAAAATTGTACCAGATACACTAGCCAAGGAGCAGCAGATTAATACACTGGATGTATCTCTTTCTTCCAGTGTTGCTGCCCACAACCAGAAAGAAAGAAGAAAAAACAACTCATGCCCCAGATTCCCTCACCAACCTTCCTAAGGCCCTGAAGTCTCTTTTGACTGCTCTTGGACTATGTGTTGCAGCCTCATCTCTTCCCACTTGGAAGTAATGGGTAAAAGTCTGAAGTCCATACTAGGCTAAGAAGTTTCCTAGTAATGTCCTTAATCTGGGCATCAGAGAGGTAGCAGACTTCACTATGAAAAGGTTTGTCAAGCATATTTGACCATCTTCCCCTCAGAAGGGAGTTGTCTGCAGCTATAACCTGTCTTTAGTTCCTGGTGGAAGTGATCATGATATAGGGGCCTTGCTGACCCTAGTAACAACTCTGCTGTGGACCTGCCATCATCCCCATCATCTAATCTCATAGAATACAAACAATATATGAAATGCATAAGAAATTAAAATCTGTTAGAGAAGTAGACAACCTGAAGGAAGCAAGTCTTCTCTGCAAGCTTAGTTTCTAAACTCAGGACAGATTACAGGACACTAATCTTGTTTATAGTTTAACAACTGGACTAAGAATTTTTTTACTTAACTGTAAGCTGACTGCTTTAATGAATATCACCTGCTTGTATAATTTCTGCAGAGATAGATTGTACTTTACTTGAGAGGAGAGTGTGATGAAGCCTGGGTGTATTGTCACTTGACTGGCTTGAAAATAAATGTTATTACATTGTAAAAACAGAAAGCAAGCATAATGAATGTTCACAAGGCAAAATTTGGTTTAACAATATATGAAAGAAGCAAGATGTAAAATCCAGCACAGATAAATTTTAATGCATTTAAAATATCAATCGCTTCAGAAAATTTCCCATAATTTAATATTAATTCTATTTAGCTACATTGCATAAAATGAAATAGTCTCTTTATCAATTAATATGCACAAGTGACCAATGGAAACTTTAAATTTTGATTTAATTGTTGCTAGGGTGGATGAAACCAGTCTCTCAGTAACCATAGACACTCCCTTAACTTTTTTGCCATCAAGGCAAACTGGCAAGTTACTACTAAAATGGGTTTGAAAAACAGTGATTCATGAGTTAAAAAAAAGAGTGAATACTTCAGAAAAAGCATGTGGTTGCTAGATATGTTAGGTAAATAAAGTAGTTTAAAGAGAATCACAATGTATGCAAATGAAGATTTTTTCAAACTTTTATATTAAACAAAATAAAATAGAGAAGAAGAAGAACTAACATTTAATTTAACACAGAAGCAGAACTAACACTAAATTATTTTATTTAATATCTGTTTCTGCAACTTGAAGTCAGCATATTCCTCATAAAAAGGAACTGTGTAATGCTTATTTTTAAAACAGAAATCAGGTGTGAAACTTCCATGCTTTTGCAGCCTGAATGTAGATTTTTGGTTCAGTGCATTCAATTAGTTTCAGTATTGGCAAGGGGCAATGGAAAATAAGGACAGTTAAACACTTCCTGAGACAAAGTTCAAGAAGTACCTCTAGATAGCGCTTGTCACTCTTATGAAAATTATTTTTCTTATTTTTGTTTAGTACACAAGAAGGAAAGAGTCTTAGAAAATATGAGAGGTAATTAAAGAAAATGTATGGTGGACACTGGCAACAAAGAAAAGTTAAAAAATTAATTGAAGATTTAATAATAATTCAGAAAGGTTAGTGATGGCAATGTTATGTTCTTTCTGTAAAATTTAGTTTGTGCTTATGGGTTCATACATTTTGGCACAGTCTTGATTACTGTACACAGTACCTCCATCCCCACAAAGACTCTAGAAGGCATCCGCAGAAACATCCACACCGCATAGAATGGACGTCTGACAAGCTTTTCTGATTTTCAGCAAGATCCTTTCGACATCTGGTATGGCCCTAAGTGATATGAATCACCATGTGCAGAATAATACTCCAACAAAAAGATTCTGCCAACTACTATGATTTGGAGCACACACTTGCTTCAAGGACAGGACACACTGCAAAAATAGAATATAAAGTACTTGGTGAGGAACTAAGACGCTTTAGTAATTTTTTCTGCAGGGCTGTGCAACTGCTTCATCTCTGTGATGCTGCAGGTAGCCATTCGATGTCAAGAGGAGACATCGACATCAAGACAGTAGAGTCAGAGACCTCAGTGGTCCCTTCCCAGAGATCAAATTTCTGGCAGACTCTTTCTCACAGTCGTGGTTTTGCAGTAAAAAAATGCATTATTAAAAATATTTTAGCGACGTAAAATGTAATATGTAAAGAATTTGGTGGGGAGTTGTGTAATGAGGCTCTGTCACTTCAGAAACCAAGTGGAAACACAGAATGTGTATGTCAGGGAGCAGGAGAGGTTGGTTGAGCTCAAATATGGTCCTGAGCCCATTGGTAGGGCACAGGGAAAGCCCCATGGGAGACTGGAAAGTGCTATTAAATCCTCTTAGTGCCCTCAAGACAAGGATATTGTTTTAGAAAGAACACTGAATATAAGGTCATGGAAAAGACATAGACAAACTAAGAGCTGCTGTGTGGGAGACCAATGACCAGGCTGGAAAGGAGCCTCAGCTGCTCTCACTGAGGACTTTGTACTTTCACTAAATACAAATGTTTATAGAAGATATGCGTATCTCATGGAAATAGCCTTTTCTTATCTTCTTGTTCTCCATCTTCATTTTCAGAGACATGTCTGCATTTCTGTTGGATGTAATCAGTTAAGTGCTCACTTAAGGAAGGGCATATTTATTGTTAGAACTAATTTATTAGAAAACATTCAAATTTGATAGAATCTCTTTTCAGAAACTGCTAATTCTTGCCCACTTGGTCAACTCACATGGGTAAAAATTAGATTTTTTTTTTAGTTATGTGATGTGGATATTTCTTCAGAATTATTTTCTTCTTCTTCGTCTGTGTCTATATGCTTTAAAAACTTTTCAAGGGGTCTATTACGTTGTGTCAATTTGTCTAAATTAGATCCAAACCTGTGCTTACAAAATGGATGCAAACTTTCAAAGTATTTTCATAAACCCAGATTTTTTAATATGAGATTGTTTGCAAACTGCTCTTCGGCTCTTTCATCCAGACAAGGTAGTACCTTGATTTGAGTACATAAAGGCAAACTAAGGAACACAAGGAAGAACTGAATTCATAAGATGTCTTCATTTCAACATGCCTTTCTGAATAGCTAATATATTGGAGAAGTTTTACATTTAGCTACTTCATCCTTGTGAACTGGTCTTGTCTCCTTATTGAAACTGCTCAGGTATTCCTCATAAAACCTTACTATTTTGCCTACAAATTTGGTTTTACATTTAGCTACTTCATCCTTGTGAACTGGTCTTGTCTCCTTATTGAAACTGCTCAGGTATTCCTCATAAAACCTTACTATTTTGCCTACAAATTGGTTGGTTAATTTAAGAGGCATATGAAAGTTTATAATCTAACTGTGCTTTATTCCTTCATATACCAATCTGTACAGGCCCTACAGAACAGATTAACGCAGAATTTTTCAGGGTAGATGAGATGTCAGGAGATCTTCTAATCCATGTATCATGAATCAGAGATGTATAAAACAGATAAAATTCTGATTTTTTCTCATTAAGAACTTTGTCTAACTGAATAAAAATTACAATAGTCATAGGGATAAAAGAGGGAGTGAATAAATTCAAAATTATTTTTAATAGTTAATAAGGTGGTTACGTATGTCAACTAATCTGTATTAGTTTTTATATTAATTGCTAAGTAATACCATGGCACTTTTGGTGCAACTATATCTTGAACTAAAATCATGGAATGGTTTGTGTTGGAAAGAACCTTTAAAGATCAGCTATTTTCAAACCCCTGACATGTACAAGGACATATTTCACTTGGTTAGATTTCTTAAATGCATTAATTCATTTTTTGCATGTACAACTCCTGTGTTAACTTGCTTATTTTAGGAATACATTTTAATGTTTTCCATTGTTTTTCAGGTGCTGGTGGATGGTCTCCACTTGTGTCCAATAAGTATCAATGGCTTCAGATTGATCTTGGTGAAAGAACTGAGATTACTGCTGTTGCTACGCAAGGTGGTTATGGAAGCTCTGATTGGGTAACAAGCTACCTTCTGATGTTTAGTGATACTGGACGAAACTGGAAGCAGTATCGTCAAGAGGAAAGCATTTGGGTATGTTATTTTAATAATGAGAATTCCCTTTTTGCCAAATATTTTTAAAAATTGCACATTCTTGCAAATATAAGCAAAGCAAAGGACTATAAAGAACTACATTGAAAGTGTTTAAGTAATTAAATGCACAAACTAATTTAGCTTTTGACAAGATAAAAGGCTCTAAAGGGCAAACGAACACCAAACACCTAACCTTAGCATTACTTCATTAAGAGTCTCATGGTATTTTGAGGACTAAAAATACACTGCAAAATCTCTTTTGTCTTGTGATGTATGCTAGAGCTGTTTTCTGAAAGTAGTGATCACAGTGTGATAAACTGGGTTTTTTAATTAGGGGAAAAAAACCAACAACAAAACTTGGGTTTTTTTCCAGAACATTTAATCTGAATGTAAAAATAAAAAAAGCAACACAAAGAAGTCACAACCAAATTCAAGTTTATTTAAAAACAAACAAATAATTTAAAAAAATTATTTTTTTTGTCATCTGATTGAGTGTAATTTTTTATGTTCCAGCCCATTTATCTCTTAAGAAATTTGTAACTAACAATGATAATTAATGAGCCTCGTTATGCTCAACACTTTCTATTCAGATTACTTTTATCAAAAGAAATGCAATACCAGAGAGATGATATCCAAAATCCACATGGAAAATTTAATAATACAGTTCTAGATCATAATTGCACCTTTTCTTGATCTCCAGTGATTAGCAGCTTGGACTAAAGAGAGAATATTGGTACCTGCACTTTGCGATTTTATCCTGTCAAGTTATTTATATCCATTTGTCCATACAAAGAGCTGATTACTTTTTAAATTTCACTAAGCTTTAGGCTTCAGTTGTTTCTTGCTGCAGTTGAACATTATGTTAAAATGTATTTCATTTTATGCATTTTAATTGTGTTGACTTTTAATTCAAAATGTTCTTGTCACTCTTATGGTCAAATCCCATCTATGATATAATGACATTATACAGTGGCTTACTTGTTGCTTAATTATCCTTCTTTTTGAATTTGCTACATAGTTCTGCTTCAGCCTGTGTTTTCATTACAAAGAGAAATAAATTAATTTCTAATCCATATGGCTGTGAGGAGCAAGAAAAAAACACACAACAATCTTCCAAATGTTAAATGAGCATAAGCTGCTATAACATTGTCTTTCCCATCTTCAGACAAACTGATAAAACAAATCTAAGAGGTAGAACTGTTTGATCTCTTCAGTGAGGACTCTTTTGAAATCCCCTATTGGTACTGCAAACAGCGATGTAGATAGTTATTACTTAAATACTGAGGAGTAAAATATCAAAAGTTTTTTAAATAATTGCTAAATGCTAATGCAGGCATTGGTGTAAGGTTGCTCTTAGACCTGTAGGCGGGGAAAAATATGGCTTGAATTCCATTATCTAGAACTTTATAAAAAAAAAAATTTTCCTAGTGAATGCAGTGCAGATTAGAGGTATGGCCTGTAGGCAGTGATGCATAATACGGGGATGTAAAGCATCAAATTCAGGAATACTCTATTGATATTTTTTGTGTATCTGTATTTAGGAGTTCTACCTCTAGGAAAATACATTTTTTCTTTCTGAACTAGTACACAGACATAGCCTTGGATATCTACCCTTAAGTATATATTTATTTTATAGATTATCTCTGATTGTTATCTGTTTATGTTAAACTTTCTTAAATGCAAGAACACCTCACATTTTATGACACCTAATGTGTTATTTCTATCCTCTTCTTAATCGAATCCTTGCCTATTACAAAATTGCTTTTCAAAAGTAACTTTTTTTTTTTTTAAATACAACTGTGCGCTAGAAAGACAGAAGATGCCCATTTTTGTGGGCCCTTTGTTGCTGTATTTCAGAATTCTTCACTGTATGTAAGAGTTTACACTTTTTAACAACACTTCCAAAACTTGGGTAGAAAAATTTATTATTTTCCTATTATTATTATTATTAATTTTCAGTTTCAGAACTTACATGAATTGTCTTTGTCACCTTATGGCTTATCCTAAGATTTTAAAGCTCCTGTCTTCAGTGGAGCTGATCACAACTTTTTCATTCACTATATATTTTTATTAAAAATAACATGAAAATATCACTGTCTAGGGATCTGAAAATGATCTAGTTGCAAAAACTGTCTTTATAGTCTGTGGAAACGGTAGTCTGTTCGAAGGCTGGTTCCTATAACTTTATATTCCATTATTTTGTCAAAATAAATAATGTACAAGTATCTCGCCTTTCTCCATCTATGAAATGCTTCACTGACTGTTGGTGCTGAATGTGGAAGCAGATATTCTAAAGTTAGGTCTCTCCCCTCTTGCAGCTGTTAAATATTATTTATTTTCACTTTTCTATTTATTAGGAATTGGTTTAGAAGGAATCATGACAACTGTAGACTGTAGTCATGCAATATCACAGGATGATTTGTAATGGAAGGGACCTTAGAGATCACCTAGTTTCAAATCCCATGCCATAGGCAGGGACACCTTCCACTAGACCAGGTTGCTTAAAGCCCCATACAACCTGGCCTTGAAAACTTCCAGGAAGGGAGCATCCACAACTTCTTTGGGCAACCTGTTCAAGTGTTTCATCACACTTTACAGGAAATGTTTTTTTCCTAGCATCTAATCTAAATCTACCCTTCTCCAGTTAAAAACCTTTCACCTCTCATCCTATCACTACATGCCCTTGTAAAAAGTCCATCTCCACATTTCTTGTAGGCCCTCTTCAACAACCATAACCTGTCTTCATAGGAGAGGTGCTCCAGCCCTTTGATCAGCTTTATGGCCCTTCTCTGGATTCAGTCTAACAGCTCCACGTCCTTCTTGAGTTAGTGGTTCCATAACTGGACACCGTACTCCAGGTGTGGTCTCACAAGAGAAGAGGAGAAAATCACCTCCCCTGACCTTCTGGCCATTCTTCTCTTCATAGAATCATAAAATCATAGAATGGTAGGGATTGGAAGGAACTTCTGGAGATCATTGAGTCCAATCACCCTGCCAGAGCATGACCACACAGGAGGTGTGGTCAAGGTCACACAGAAACACACCTGGACTGGTCTGAAAACCTCCAGAGAAGGAAACTACACAAACTCTCTGGGCAGCCTGTTCCATGGTCCACCACCCTTACAGTAAAGAGGTTTTTCCTCATGTTGAGGTGGAACTTCCTGTGTTCTAGTGTGCATCCATTGGGCCTTGTCCTATCATAGAGCAGACTGAAAAGAGTTTGTCATCTTCTTGACACCCACACTTCAGATATTTATATACATTAATAAGACCCCGTCTCAGTCTTCTCTACACTAAACACTCACAGGTCTCTCAGCCTTTCCTCCTAAGAGAGATGTTACATTCCCTTAATCGTCTCATGTTTGACTCTTTAAAGTAAATCCCTGTCACTCTTGAACTGGGAAGCCCAGAACTGGACACAGCACTCCAGGTGGGATGTCACTAGGGCAGAGTAGAGTGGGAGGAGAACCTCCCTTGATCTGCTGCACACACTCCTGTGCACACACTATTATGTGCCCCAGGATACCACTGACCCTCTTGGCCACAGGGCACATTACTGTCCCATGGGTAACGTCTTACCACCCCAGGACTCCAAGGTTGGCTCCTAATCTGTACTGGTGGATGTTGTTATTTCTCCACAGGTGCAGGACTCTACACTTACTCTTGTTGAACCTCATTAGGTTCCTCTTTGCCCAGCTCTCCTGTCTGTCCAAATCTTGCTGAATGGCCGCACCGCTTTCTGGTGATTCAGCCAATCCTCCCAGTTTCATATCATCAGCAAACTGGCTGAGGATACACTCTCACCTCATCCAGGTCATTGATGAAGGTGTTGAACAGGACAGGATCCATCACTTATTCCTGGGGAACTACAGTAATTACAGGTCTCCAGCTGGACTCAGTGCCATTGATCACCACCCTCTGGGCTCTATTGTTTAGCTAGTTCTCAATCCATCTCACTGTCCATTATTCTACCCCACACTTCCTGAGCTTGCTCACAAAGATATTATGGGACACAGTGTCAAAAGCCTAGCTAAGGTCAAGTTCTACATCTACTGCCCTTCCTGCATCTATCAGTCATCCTATCATAGAAGACTATCACAGAATCACCAAGGCTGGGAAAGTCCTTTAAGATCATTGAGTCCATCCTATGACCTAACACCACCACATCGGCTATGGCTGATGACAATGGCACTAATGGCCACATGCAGCTTTTCCTTGAACACCTCTGGGGATGGTGCCTCTACCACTGGGAAGTCCATTCCAATCACCCTCTCCATGAGGAAGTACTTCCTAATACCCAACCTAAACCTCCCTTGGTGCAGCTTCAGGCCATACTCTCTCATCTTGTTGCTAGTTGTCTAGGGAAGTTAGGCTGACTGGTCTATAGTTCCTTGGATCTTCTTCCTTGCTCTTTTTGAAGACTGCAGTGACATTGGCTTTCCCCCAGTCCTCAAGCACCTCTCCTGTTTTCCATGATCTTTTGAAAATGATGGAGAGTGGTGCAGCAATAGCATTAGCCAGCTTGCTCAGCAGTCCTGGGTGCATTCCATCGGCACCCATGGGTATGTGTATATTCATTTTATCTAACTATCTCTAATCAAATCCTCACTGACCAGTGGAGAGACTTCCTTCCTTCAGACTTTCTCTCTTACTTCCATTGTCTGATTCACAAGGGCTGGTCTTGTGAGCAGCTTGAAGAAGACTGACGCAAAGAAAGTATTCAGTAACTCTGCCTTCTCTGCATCCTGTTACATGAGCTCTGTCGCGAGCCGATGCCAGGGGGCTACCGGCTGTCAGGATGCCTCTGCGACGTCCCCCCACCCAGTGTGGACGGCTTTGTGAATGAAAGGGAGAGCTCACATGTGGTGCTCCCTTCTCAGAGAGGAACGGCCGCTGCGGGACTGTATTTTAGAGTGGTGATTAGAATACCCCCTCACTCAATGTGTGTGTGTGTGTGCATGTGCGTGCGCATTTACCCTTCTGTAGTGTGTGGTTCCTGG